TGGAGGTAAGATATCACACATATATGACATATATATAGACACACATACAGACACTCCACAGCTATTGTTTTAAAATTACTGACATGAATCAGGTGCAGTAGTATAATGCTCACTAGTTATGAAAGAATAATGGAATTCAAATTTTGTTTTAAGCTTTTTCTAGTAATATTTGTGGAGAAGACTTTCAAGATGCTAGATTTGGGGCAAGGGTGCACTTATGACCATTTTTCTTGCCTTTTTTCCTTCTTTTTTCCTCAATCTTAGGAATAGGAGATGGACTGGATAAGAGGTCCTGGAGAGGTGAGACAATAAGCCTTTTTGAGATGAAGGAAATGAGTGGAATCTGAACTGCCTCTAGAATCGCTTGCTACTTTTGCAAAGCTTTGTGACTTGAATAGACTTGCTCATTATTTCTCAGAAATTTGGGTTCTAACATAAAAGACATTAGAGGTCAATCTACCTGTCCAACTACATCATCCTAATTGGCTTCTTTCCCTCTGGGTGCTTAGTTTTGTTTTAACTTATGGAAGAATGTCAGAAAATTCTTATGAGGCTCTGAATATAAGCTTCCAGTTTGGCTGAACTTCTCATCATAAGTTGTTAACACTTCCCAATGTCTTGTCAGGTTTCAGAGGGACAAACAGTATCTACCTGGAGGTATTGAACAATTCCATTACCTTTAACATAGCGATTTCCCAGAATGCCTCTCAGAGTCTCATTAACTCTGGCAGTATATTACAGGGGTGTCTGTAAAGACATGGCCCAAGATATTGTCCCTTAGGTACCTTTTATAACTTAATTTTCTGTTAGCTTTTGGCAACACAACTTCAAATAAGGTTATTTTGGAATTTTGAAGTTTTGCTTTTAAGTGTACTACTTAAATAATCTGATCTAATCACGATGTTCCTTCTAATAGCCGATGGAGTTCCTCTGAGGCTGATGATAGTTTGGTAAGACCTTTAGCTGGGAATGGAGTACAACTCACGTTCCTGTCTATCTCTGACTACAAAATGAGTGCCACCACACTTTGTCTGACTGTATATAGAGAACTTGACCTCAGGATTATTGAGCCAAGCCCTCAGGACACAAACAAGCATAGCAAGAATTTTTTTCTTTCTTGTAAATATTTGCAGTTTCTGGAAACTTTAGTTGAGCAATGATGCCGGAAGGTGGTGAGCTGGACTCTAAACAATTTCCCTCTTACCAGCCTCTTATAAAGGAGCCCAGAAGTGGCCACTGTAACTTTAAATTACTCTGGGTTATCTTTTCAAGGCTTTACAGCTATCCCCATTTCATTAAGCACTTGCAATTTTCAGCATGAAGCCAGCCAGAGTTCCCAGGGGAGGCTGCCCATTCGGGAATGGTCAGCGTTTAGAAGCTCAATTTCCCATTTTTTGTTAGTTTGTATTTACTATAAATTCTGACCAATTCCTGGGGACAGTGTAATGGGTCTGCCACTCCCATGAGGTTCTCAGTCAGCTCGGAACACCTTACAGCTGGGAGAAGCTGGTGTTCTTCTCTTCAGACCTGAACAAGTCCAGACTCTCATTTCTCTATCAAGTAGTTTGTTAAGACTTTGTAAATACAATTCTTTCTAATTTAGAGCCAAATTAAAAGGTCAGCCTGCCTTATTCACTCCAGAGTCACCCCTCCAGGTTCCTAAGGGGTAGAAATTGCCCCTTGGGTTTCTTTTCCCTAGAAATTCCCCTTAGGTTCCTCTTACCTAGTGTATGTACCAGTCCCCCTTAAGACACCTAGTCTTAAGGATATAAAGAGGTCATGTAAACTCTGCACCATTGACTTAAAATAAGGAGATCCACTTTTCTGTGGAAATCACCAGGTCAACTAAAGAATGCAATGATTTGGGGGACCACTGGGTCAGTTTGTACCAAACGCTGATTCAGTGTAAATTCCAAGTGGTCTCCAGTGGGTTTCTCTGAAATCATACTGCAATGACACCAAGAAATGTCAATACAAATTATTTGTAGTTAATCTACAAGTCAAAATGGAGTTGCCTTATTATGAGCCAAGTTTGCAGATTATAGCCTGGGTACTTTATTCCCCAAGGAAAGAAAGTCAACAAAGAAGTGGGATATATGCTGTTGTTATATATCCTCTTGGAGCAAAGAGTGTACATCACACGACAGGAATATCTCTTTTACTACCATCACAGGATCTTAGCTGGCACAGCAGGGCAGTGGTCCCAAGGTGAGCACAGAAGGTGGGTAGTTGATCCTTAGTTCCCAGGAAGAGATGCTAATCCTTAAACAAATGCTGATAATGGGGTAAGTCACATCCCCATCATTAAGGGCATCATTCTTCTCTTTGGGACATAGTAAATCTTTCAAGTAGATGTAGAATGCATGCTCAACAGGCCACGGAAAACAAGGTTGTGCCAAGTGAGTTTTAAGCCAAATGACTTCTTCATATACTCCAATACATCTGATTATTTTTCATTTATTCATCAATGATAAGTCTGACTGTATTCAAGGACACCCACCATTAGTGATTACTTGTGTAAATAAACCTTTGATTTTAAACCTTGGATGTGTCTCCCTCCAAGTGGGAACCAAATCTTACTGGTCCCTTCCAGGGGCAAATGCAAGTAGCCTGAGAAGCAGAGCTGGATGCCTTGTGCCCAGAAATGCTGAGAGCTGGGTGAGGTACCAGCAGTGGCAACATGGACCCCGAGGACCTTCCCAGATGACAGTGTGATGGGTAACCCCCAAGGGCCACATGGGGCTCTCCTCTGACCCAGATGAAGACTCCCAAACAGGCCTGATGGCAGCATCTATGGTACCTCACCTCATGCAGTAAATTGGTGCTGCTGCCCTTCGTGGGGAAAATGTGGCCGCATGTGCGCTGTGATGGAAGACTTTGGGGCAAAAACCCCAGATGTGGGGATGTCTATCGTTCTACACAGCAAACCTGCAGCAGGGCTGGGTCAAATGAAACACACAGGTTTGGGCCGAGATCGTAAAGAACACAAAACACAGTCCTTGCCTTCAATGACCTTGTTCTGCCCCTTACAGTATAATCCTCGCCTGTGAGCCTGAACCAGAGATCTGCTCTCAGCTCACTTTAAACTAGTGCTACAATAATCACCCACACAAAAACAGACTTTCATTCACCCCTGGTAAAGGACCAGGAGAAGCAGAGCTCCTGACATTACTGAGGACTTGTTGACGATGAAAGTCATGGACAGCCCACCTTTCTCCAGCTCCTGGGAAGCAATAGGCCAGTGAGGAATGCGGAACTCTGGTGGCTAGTTGACAGTGAGAAAACTGACTTTCAGATCAAATAACAAGATAAACATTGACTACGGTCCACTCTGCCAGCACTGCCCACAGTGGGGCTGGGAAATGTCTTCTCCAAGTGATGGGGAGGCCAGTGAGAACCAGATCAGTCAAATCCAGGGGGGAGACTCCCCATTTGAGCTTCAAAATCTAAGCTGATGCTCTGCTTCCTGATCCTTCCTCTGGGGTCAGCAAACAAGAGGCCGTCATGTCCCTGCTGTGGGTGTGGATTCTCCATGGCTCCCACCTTCCCAGCTTGGAGCAGGAAGGCAGCTCCAGAGGCTTCTCTGGAAGCAGTTGCTGGTCTTATGGGTGATAACTTTCTGCCACCACAGAGGGCAGATGCACCACTGTGACCACGAAGCTTGAGCCTTGCTTCTGTGGGTCCTTTTTGAAGAAAATAGGCACATCTGAAAGCCCCTGTGGTAGGCTGAATAATGGCCAACCAGGTATCAGCTGTCAGCTCTAGAACCTGTGAATGGACATATTTGGTAAAAGGGTCTTTGCAGATGTGATTAAGTTAAGGGTTTTGAGATGGGAGATTATCCTGGATTTTTCGGTTGTGCCCTAATTCCAGCGCACATTATAGGACAGATGCAGATGGAAATCAGAACCCACAGGAGAGCTGGAGACAACGGGTCCACAGAGGCAGAGACTGGAGGGATGCGGCTGAAATACAAGGGTGCTGGCAGCCACTGGAAGCTGCAAGAGGCAAAGGACAGACTCTCCTTAGAGCCTCCAAGGTAGCATGGCTCAGCCAACACCGTGACTTCTGCCCAGGGACACTGATCTCAGAGTTCCGGCCTCCTCAGCTCTGAGAGAATCAACTTCTGGTTTTGAAGCCCCAAGTACGTGGTCATTTGTAACAGCAGCCTCCTCAGGAAAGGAATCCAGCTCCAGACCCAGGAAGAAGGGACTTCCCTCCTGCTGCAGGAGCGTCTGCTCTGTCAGGACTCGCTGTTATCAGAGCAAATCGTGGAAGAGCAAGAGTGCGCGCATCCTTCTCGTGACCACTGTGCATGCCTGAGCTGCTTCTGCTGCAGGCATGAACAGCAGAGGAGGCCCACGTGAACGTGCAAGAAGGCAGCACAGCAAAGATATGGCTGCGAATCCCTCCCCCAAGCATCTCCAGGGGTCCTGTGACTTGTCAAAGAAATCTAGAACATTCCTCACATTTCATATGTGATATTACTGCTTTACCTGACTAGTAGAAAAGCACAGCTCTGTTCCCAGGGGCGACAACCAAGCCTGCCCAGCCCCCCATCATGGCTGGGCTTCCTCTGCCTCGCAGCCTCAAATCTCATTGCCAGCCCACACACTTGCAATTACAGATAACCAAGAACTCAGCTAAACCTGGAGAAAACAAGCAAGGGCCACGGTTGGAGCCATCCAGAGGAAGGTCAGCACTTGAGGTCCTTGGACCCCTTGTGGACATGGTATCCACAAGAACCCAAGCTATTTTCACCAGTGTCTGATTTATGCGCTGATCCACTTCTTTACAAAAGGGAAATGGCTGCTGCAATCCTGGGGAAGCATTCTTTTTGTAACTTTCAAACAAAAAGAGCTTTTCTTTCTCCAATGATTGAACAAACATGCTGGGCTTCACAGTCATGGAAGTTTCCACTACAGTCCACCCCTGATCATCATTTTGGTGAAAGAAATATCCTCTCTGGTTGCTGCGGCAGCAGTTAGGGGACCATCCTCGAATGCTCTCTGAGGTCAGGTGTGTGGGTCATGGATCCCACGCCAGTCTGGGAAGTGACGCCATTCCCACCTCAAGGGTGTGCCTGCTGGAGGGGTGTTGGGTAATAAACAGCATTCCATGCACAGATATCAATAGTTGTCTGTAATCAGGATCATAGCAGGCAAGGTTTCCAAACAAGTGCTGTTGTGTAAGCGCCCAGGAGGCGTAGAAATAGAGGCTCCTCCGCCCTCAGCAGCCTCGCTGGGTCCCAGGTCTCAGAGCAGCTCCTCCATCTTCTCCCGCCACCCAGGGTCCAGCTGGCGTTCACCATGCGGGACTCTGCTTCATGCTCCTGACCTGCTTCATCCTCTTTCCTCACATGGCCCAAGGTGAGCTGTGAAGCCAGGCTGGTGTGGGGTCACAGGGGTCTAATGTGATGGGAATGGGGACCAGCCCATATGGAGGAGTGGCTGATGGTCTAGAAATAAGTAATAAATCTGAGCATCAAGAACATCAACCAAAGAAGGAAAGTCTCATGGGAGATTCTGAGCTGTCTCTTAATGGACTGAAACATCACCCTCTGTATCTCTCAGGCTAAGGATGGGTCATTTCCCTGACATGGACCAGTGAGTAGGTAGAGACAACACCACTAGGCCAGGCCAGGCTTTCAGGCCTGCAGGTGTGACTGGCCTTGGCACAGGTGGTGGGGATAACTACCATGTAGGAGGTGCCATCCCCAGGGCTCATTTGCTGTCCATCTTCCCTGCCTGGGAGAAAGCCCAGGATAAAGGAGAGAGCTGGACCCAGGAGCCAAAACACTAGTGTGTGTTTCTCAGCTCTGACACTGACTCACAGTGCACACTTAGACAAGTCACCGAGCTGTCCTCAGACTCAACCCTGTCTTCTCCTGAAAAGCAATACCAACCTCAAAGTTGTACAGAGTCTGAATGAGGACAAACAAAGGAGAGTTTAGGAGGGGCCTCGTAGAGCAGCAAAGACATGCCAGTATGTTCCAACTCTGTGATTCCTGCCCTTTTATTTTGTGTGTTCTTGACTGGATGGCCCATGGTGACAGGCCCACAAGCCAGCCCCTCCTGAGCCCTGGATGCTGCACAAAACATGGCAGGATGGAAGTCCCCTGGCCCCTCGCTGCTCTTTGTGCCCAGTTCCTCTGGCCCAATCTCTCCTGTCCTTTTGTGCCCAGGGCATATCGGGGTGTGCAGTGTGAGGTGGTTCTCATCAGGCTGCATGAGGCTACACAGAGTCCCCTTGAGCATCTGGAGCAGGGGCTGGACGCTGGGGTGCAGGCAGGGGAGCCTTGAGTCAGCATTCAGGGCAGACACTTCGGTACCTGCCCTCTTTAGAGCAGAGGCTGTCCTGCCCGCCAGGAACCAACGCAGCAGTGGCAGCAGAGCAGAAGGAGCGGGGGCTCCATAGGGTTTCTAAGGGAGGTGCCTGCAGAAGGAGCCTCTCCTGCCAGCTCCTCAGGGCACGGGTCATGTCCCTGCATTCATACTAACTACTGCTCCCAATGAGCAACTGAAATATTTTCCTCTCTACAGCCCATATCCTGGTCATAAACACAGAAGAGAGCTGCAATCCTGTTGGCGCCCGGTGTAGATTTCTTTCTTGCCCAGAAGATCATGTACATATTGGTTACTGTTGGATCTTCAGAATAGGAAGATGCTGTTTGCGCCATGATGAGCTGAAGAACACGGGAGGACAAGGAACCCAGAGAATGAAATAAAGGGCTGACTTTAACTCTGAAAGTGCCACAGTGTTCTTTCCTGAAAATAAAGAAATGACTCGTGCTGTATTTTAAAAATGTGATTACTACGTGCAACAGTGTGTATACATGGAGAGGGAAGTGACGTGTACATGGCCGGCCAAGGAGTGGAGAGGCCTGGCATGCCTAGGATGAGAGATGCCTTTACATGGAAATGTTGGGGTGTCAGGTGTGTGCTGGAAGAGGGGATTCTAGATCCCTAATTATGGGAAGAGGGCTCTGGTGTCCCCATATATGGCAGATGTGTATGCAGGGGGAGAAAGGAAGAACATTCAATCAGGAATTCACCTTATTCTCTTTTCCATTAATTGCTGAGCCATGTCCTGGGCCTTCAAATGTCTATCGCTTGGCTCTGTGAGACCCCAGCCCAGAACGTAGTGGCTTAAATACCCATCACCTACTGAACTCGTGGGTCTATGATTGGCAAGTGGAGAGGGGCTCAGCTGAGTGATTCTTCTGGTCTCACCTTCCAGGTGTTAGTCCTCTGGTGCTGTCATAACAAAGGACCACAGCCTCGGTGGTTGAAGTAATAAAAATTGATTTCCTCACAATTATGGAGGCTGGTAGTCCAAGATCAAGACGTCAGCGAGGTTGGCTTCTTCTGAGGGCTCTCTCTTTCTCTTGCCAAGTGCTGACTTCTCCCTGTGTCTTCCCATGGTCTTCCTGCTGTGCACACCTGTGCCCAAACTTTGTCTTCTTGGCAGCACACCAGTCATCGTGGCTTAGGGCCCACCCTAATGATCTCATTTTGTTTTAATTGCCTCTTTAAAGATCTTATCTCCAAACACATTCTGAGGTGATAGGGGTTAGGATCTCAACATACGAATTTGGGGGGACACAATTCAGCCCACAACACCTGGCCTTACTCCTGCATCTGCAGTCAGCTTCCAGGTTGACTGGGGCTGCCTTCCAGCTGAGACAATGGGAATCTCTGAGCCGAGGCTCTTCTCATCTCAGACTCACCCAGGCTTGTTCTCTTCGTGGCTTCCAGGGTCCTGGCAGAACCAGAGGAAGCATGCAAGGTGTTTTGAAGTGAAAGTTCATAAGTGGCCCCTTCTGGTGTCTTCTCTTGACCAAAGCAAGTCAAAAGGCCAGGGAGACCCAGAGTTAAGGAAACAGACTCCACCTACAGATGGACAGAGATGCAACGTCACACAGTTGAGGTCTGATTCAGGGAGAGAGGTACAATGGTGGCGACTCTTCCATAGACCACAAAGAGTATCCTGGGCCTTCTACCTTTATGGGTCTTGTGTGCTGCATAGGGGAAGAGGGGGATGTTCTCGGCTCAGGAGAAGGCTCAGACCTTTATAAATGCAGCCTTAGAGACAGGATTCTCTGGAAAAGTGACCAGATGGATCAGGGCTCTGCTCTGGAGACGGGCCCCAGAGTCCTACGAAGTATGGTCCAGGGCTGTGATGGCAGAGGAAGAATTTGTTGAAAAATATCAGCGTGACTAGTTGTTGCAGAGAAAATCAGAATTTTCTGGACTCCTTTATACCTCTTTTGCCCTTTTACTGTACTGGGTGTGGAATCCAGAGAGGGGAGGGGCCCTATAATGTCATCTGTGCTGAATCCCCCGAATGTCTTCATCCAGACCTTTCCCTCCCCTGTGACCTCTGTGTGACTGGAGGTGGTTGTGTCTCTCCACACCCAGGAGCAGGACTGACTTGGGGAGGTGAGGGGGGGGGGGTCTTTAACACCCTCATCATCTCCTGCAGGCTCCTCCCTACAGCTGCACAAGGAAGGATGGACGAGAGATAAAGCAAAAGCAAAGAACTTGCACAACAAATGCAGCTTCGAAACCATCCCCCAAACCCTCCAGCCTCACTACTCTGTCTTAAAGGATCCAGGAAGAAGGGACTTGACCTCCTGCCCCTGCAGAGTCCAGTCTTGTCAGGACTCCCTGTTATCACAGCAAATAATACAAGAGCAAGAGTGCGCGCATCCTTCTCGTGACCACTGTGCGTGCCAGAGCTGCTTCTGCTGCAGGTCTGAACAGCAGAGGAGGCCCACGTGAATGTTCAAGAAGACAGCACAGCAAAGATATGGCTGCAAATACCTCCCCCAAGCATCTCCAGGGTTCCCGCAATATCTAACAAGAATCTAGAACACTCCTGCCATTTCAAATGTGAAAGCATTGCTTTACCTGACTAGTGGAAAAGCACAGCTCTGTTGCCAGGGGTGGGCACCAAGCCTACTGGGCCCCCCATCATGGCTGGGCTTCCTCTTCTGGCAGCCTCAAGTTTCATTGCCAGACAACACACTTGCAATTGCAGATAACCAAGAACTTAGCTCAACCTGGATAATATAAACAAGGGCCACAATTGGAGCAATCCAGAGGAAGGTCAGGATTTGGGGTTCTTGCACCCATTGTGGACACAACGTCCACAAGAACCCAGGCTATTTTCACCAGTGTCTGATTCATGCCCAGATCTGCTTCTTTACAAAAGTGAAATGGCTGCTGCAATCCCGGGGAAGCATTCTTTTTGTACCTTTCAAAACAAAGACAGCTTTTCTTTCTCCAATGATTGAACCAACTCAGTGGGCTTCATGGTCATGGAAGTTTCTGCTACAACCCACCCCTGACCATCATTTTGGTGAAAAGAATGTCCTCTCTGGTTGCTGGACCCTCAGTTAGGGGTCCATGCTAGAACACTCTCTGAGGTCAGGTGTGTAGGTCAAGCATCCCATGTTGGAGTGGAAAGTGAGAACATTCCAACCTGAACAGTGTGCCTAAGGGAGGAGGGTTGGGTAACGGACAGTGTTCCATATATAGATATCAGTAGATGTCTGGAATCGCAATCATAGGAGGCAAGGTTTCCAAACAAGTGCTGTTGTGAAAGCACCTAGGAGCCTTATAAACAGAGGTTCTCCCACCCGCAGCAGCCTCGCTGGGTCCCAGTCTCAGAGCAGCTCCTCCATCTTCTCCTGCCGCCCAGGGTCCAGCCGGCATTCACTATGCGGGGCCTCTGCTTCGTGCTCCTGACTTGCTTCATCCTACTTCCTCACTTTGCCACAGGTGAGCTCTGAAGACTGGCTGGTATGGGCTAGCGGGGGTCTCATGCCCAGGGAATGGGGACCAGGCGGTATAGGGGGAGTGGGTCAGGGTCTAGAAATAAGTAATAAATCTGAGCATCAAGAAAAGTGTCAACCACAGGATGAAAGTCTTGGGGAGATTCTTAGAAGTCTCATAATGGACTGAAACATGGCCCTTAGTATCTCTCAGGGTAAGGATGGGTCATTTCCCTGGAACATGGACCAGTGAGTAGGAAGAGACACCACCACTGGGCCAGGCCAGGCTTTCAGGCTGGCAGGTGAGGTTGGCCTTGGAACAGACGATGGGGATAATGACCAAGGAGGAGGTACCATCCCCAGGGCTCACTTGCTGTCTGACTCCCCTGACTGGGATAAAGCCCAGGATAAAGGAGAAAGCTGCACCCAGGAGCCAAAACACCAGTGTGTGTTTCTCAGCTCCGATGTTGACTCGCACTTAGACGAGTCACCAAGCTGTCCTCAGACTCAACTCTGTCTTCTCCTGAAAAGGAAGACAAACCCCAGAAGTGGTACAGAGTCTAAATGAGGACAAACAAGGGAGAGCTTAGGAGGGGCCTTGTAGAGCAAGAGAGACACGCCAGGTGTGTTCCACTTATGTGATTCCTGCCCTTTTATTGTGTATGTTCTTGACGGGATGCCCCATGGTGACAGGCCCACAAGCCAGCCCCTCCTGAGCCCTGGAGGCAGCACAGAGGACAGCAGGGCAGAAGGCCCCTGACCCCTGTCTGCTCTTTCTGCCCTGTTCCTCTGGCCCAATCTCTCCTGTCCTTTTGTGCCCAGGGCACATTGGGACTGTGCAGGCTGTGGGGGTTCTCATCATGCTGCATGAGGCTGCACAGAGTCCCCTTGAGCATCTTGAGCAAGGACTGGACCCTCGGGTGCAGGCAGGGGAGTATTGAGTCAGCTTTCTGGGCAGACACTTCGGCAACTGCCCTCTTTAGAGCAGAGGCTGTCCTGTCTGCCAGGAACCAACACAGCAGTGGCAGCAGAGCAGAAGGAGCGGGGGCTCCGTAGGGTTTCTGAGGGAGGCGCCTGCAGAAGGAGCCTCTCCTGCCTGCTCTTCGGTGCACCTGTCATGACCCTGCATTCACAGTGATTACTGCTCCCAGTGAGTGACTAAAATATCTTCCTCTCCACAGCCCAGGTCCTGTCTCTAGACACGGGAGAGAACTGCAAGCGTGTTGGCGGTGAATGTAAATTTTTTTCTTGCCCAGGAGATCATGAAACTATCAGTTCCTGTTGGATCTTTGGAATAGGGCAATGCTGTCGACGCCGTGGCTAGCTGAAGGACACGGGAGCACAAGCAGCCTGAGAATGAAATAAAGGGCCGACTTTAACTCTGAAAGTGCTCTCATATTGTTTCCTGAAAATAAAGAAATGACCCGTGCTGCATTTAAGAAAGTGATTACCATGTGTAACTGTGGCTGGGAGAGACGTGTGTGTGGAGGCCAAGAGGGAACTGACACTGCACGACAGGGCCTAGATGTGGGGAGGCCTTGTGTGCCTGGGATGAGAGATGCTTTGACATGGAAATGTTGGGGTTTCAGGTATGTTCTGGAAGAGGGAATTCTAGATCCCTAATTATGGGAAGATAACTGTAGTGTCCCCGTATATGGCAGATGTGTGTCCAGGGGGAGAAAAGGAGGGACATTCAATCAGAAATTCACCTTATTCTCTTTTCCATTAATGCTGAACCATTTTTCTGGCCCTTCAAATGTTTATCGGTTGATTCTGTGAGACCCCACCCCAGATCGTAGTGGCTTAAACACCTGCCACCTACTGACCTCGTGAATCCATGGTTGGCAAGAGGAGAGGGGCTCAGCTGAGTGATTCTTCTGGTCACGCTTACCAGGTCCCCTGGGTCTGTCATAACCAAGCACCACAGCCTCGGTGGTTTAAGCAATAAAAATTGATTTATTCACCATTACCGAGGTTGACAGTCCAAGGTCAAGATGTCAGCGAGGTTGGCTTCTTCTGAGGCCTCTCTCTTTCTCTTGCCAAGTGCTGACTTCTCCCTGTGTCTTCCCATGGTCTTCCCGCTGTGCACACCTGTGTCCAAATTTCCTCTTCTTGTCAGCACAGCAGTCATCGTGGACAAGGCACCACCCTAATGACCTCATTTTAATTTAATGACCTCTTTAAAGACCTTATCACCAAATACTATTACATTCTAGATATTAGGGGTTAGGACCTCAACATATGAATTTCGGGGGACAGAATTCATCGCAAAATGCCTGGTCTTACTCCTGCGTCTGCAGTCAGCGTCCAGGTTGACTGGGGCTGCCTTCCAGCTGAGGCAATGGGAATCTCTGAGTCGAGTCTCTTCTCATCTCAGACTCATCCTGGTTTGTTCTCATCGTGGCATCCAGGGTCCCAGGAGAACCAGAGGAAGCATGCAAAGTATCTTGAAGTCTAGGCTGATAAGAGGCCCACTCTGCTGTCTTCTATTGACTGAAGCAAGTCTTTTGAACATGTAGACTCCAGAGTTATGGAAACAGTCTCCACATGCAGATGGGAGGACATGCAAAGTCACACGATTGAGGTCCGATTCAAGGAGAGAGGTACAATGGTGGCCACTCTTCCATCAACCGCAAAGAGTATCCTGGGCCCTTCTACTTTTATGGGTCTTGTGTGCTGCATGGGGGGAGAGGGGGATGTTCTCGGCTCAGGAGAAGGCTCAGACCTTCACAAATGTTGCCTTAGAGACAAGATTCTCTGGACAACTGTCCAGATGGATCAGGGCTCTGCTCTGGAGACAAGACCCAGAGTCCTACCAAGTATAGTCCAGGGCTGTGATGGCAGTGGAAGAACTTGCTGAAAAATATCAGGCATGACTAGTTGTTGCAGAGAAAATCAGAATTTTCTGGACTCCTTTATAGTTATTTTGCCATTTATACTGTACTGGTTTTGGGATCCAGAGAGGGGAGGGGCCCGATAATGCCATCTGTCCTGAAAGCCCCCAAAGGACTTCATCCAGACCTTCCCTGTGGACCTCTGTGTCATTGGAGGCAGTCTTGTCTCTCTCTACACCCAGGAGCAGGACTGAGTCAGGGAGGTGAAGGCGGGGTCTTTAACACCCCCATCATCTCCTGCAGGCTCCTCCCTACAGCTGCCCAAGGAAGGATGAACTAGAGATATAGCCAAGAACTTGCAAAACAAATGCAGCTTCGAAACCATCCCCCAAACCCTCCACCTCACTGCTCTGTCTAAATGCTTCCTACGAAGACCTCTGGAGCCCCTGCCTCTGCCCACACAGCCCCCTAATCAGAACATGCTCCAAGTCCATTCTTACCTCTCCTGCTGCATCTGCCCCTGCCCTCTCCTGCCCTCTAATCCTCTCACTGCACACACCCTGCATGCCCATGCTGTGTTCATGCCTGTGGGGAAGGACCTACCCTGGGTTAATTGTAGCTCCCCTTCCTGCTACTCAAAGGAGTTATTCACTTCTTCCTCTGTTCTCCCTGAACATGCGTTGACCAGGGCTGTTGGATCCTAAAGGGTGGAGTAGAGGAGAAGGGAAAAGTCTGCAGAGTAATGGGCCGAGGGAGAAGCATGTCAGCAAATCACCATCTTTTATAACCCCAGAAACCTTCACGCATTCACCAGTAATTACTGAGTGCTGCCTTGGTGTCAGGTCCTGGAGTGAAGAACTCCGATAACATCCCTCCTCCTGAGTATGATATTCTAGTGGAGGCAGAAGGACAATGAGAAAATCAACTAATTAAGTGACACTCATGCTGAGAAGAAGAAGAAGCAGAGCTAGGGGACGCCTAGTGTCCACGAGGTGCTATTTTATACTGAGAGGCCAGTATAAGGCTGTTATTTTTTTCCATTTTCTCAACACAAGATTAACATAAGGGAAGCCATCTTGTAGAAAAGTAACCATACTGTAACTTTGAATGACCTCAGACCAACTAAGCCTGCTGGATATGTACCCCCCAGGAGATCCACCTGCTCTCTAGATTTTATGACCCCTGCTTGTGCACATAGCTCCCAGCTGCAATAAGATGATAACCTCGTTCTTTTGAGTTCCTCAGGAATGTGATGATCCCTTGAGCAGAGAGTCTACACTGACAGCCATCATCAATGACAACTGAAAGAGCTGGTGTGGTGACTCCTGGATCAACATTCCTAGCCCCTCCCCTTTAACCCACTGGCCTATATAACTGCTTCAAGATTCTGTGTCCCTCTTAAGAAGGTTCTTTTGGACATTAGTCAGCCATCTTCCCTTTTGCTAGCAAGTTATAAGAAAATGCCCCTTCTCTGCCACCATCTTATGTTGTTTTGAGTACATACATCATAACACATAATCATTGTTAAAGAGTTTCCCCCAAAACTTTTACCCTTTTTACATTTATTCAGTTTGCCTTTGTCCAATAATCACTTAGAGTGCCTACAAAAGTTTATGAGACATTAGACAAAATAGGCCATCATGGTAAGTTATTATTTTGGCTAACTAGTTTTGTGGTAGAGATAACATCAGCTTATTTGACCAAGAAACATAGAATAAAGGCTGCATGTTGCATCAGTGCCAATGCTGGTAGCTTTAAGAACATGCCCATTTTAAGCAAACCATCAATCTTAAATGATTTTTCAGTTACCAAAGACTAATTTTATCATGTTAACTTGAATGACATTTGGGTTAATTTCTATTGCATTCAGAATTTATGTAAGCACTTACTTTTAGTCAATTGAATGGAGCCCTTTAGAAATAATCCCGTCCAGAGGTAAAATATCACACACACACATATATATATATAGACTCACATACACAGAGACTGCACAGCGGTTGTTTTAGTTCCTGCCATGAATCAGGCATAAGGCTCCCTAGTTATGAATCCAAATTTTGTTTCAAGCCTTTTTACTAATATTTGTGCAGAAGACAATCAGGATGCTAGATTTTTGGCGTGGGTGCTCTTATGGCTGTCTCTTTTGCTTTTTCCTCTTTTTTTCTTCAGTTCTAGGAATTAGTGATGGGCTAGATATTCCCCAGAGCATTGGCAAGCTCTTTGAGATAAGGGAAACTGCTGGGACCTGAACTACCTCTAGAGCTGCATTTCCAGTCTTGCATGGATTTTTCTTAAGGACAATTGCTCGTTTTTCTCAGAAATTGGGTTGTAAGTTAAATCACATTGTAAGTTGATCTACGTGTCCAACTACATCATAAAGGCACAGAGAAACCACTCAAGTTTTCTCCAAGATGTTTCTGGGTCATATTTGGCTTATCAGTTTTTAACATCCCAATACTTAACAGCATTTATGGCTTAACTATGGACAAAGAGCCATCCCCAAAAGAGAGTGCAAAAGGAGCAGCCCTCACAAGATGCAGAAAGTTCCCTCCCAGAAATAGTCCAAGCAAGCAAAGGCTTCTGCTGCACAGGTGGTAGTGCACTACCAAGGAACAAAGGTTGAGACGACGAAGGTCCCGATGGACTGGGATCCCTCAGGACCAGATAGGTTACAAGGTCAAGCTCTCAAGACTCAGCACTAGACAAAAAGGAAAAACCTCATCTCATAGGCACATTAAGAGTATTAGCTATGCTTTGGGTCTCTCAGAGCCAGCTAATACCTAGGAGGGAGATGCCACAGGGCTGGGGATTGTGTAAGCGATTTCTTGAGGTGGTGAGCGCCTTAATGGCTCTTTTCTGCTCAACCTGTACCCACCAATATTCTAGACTTTTTGGCTTCTAAGATGCCCTTAGCAACAGGTTCCACCTTATGTGCATACTCCTTGGGCGGGCTCACGGCAAAGCCTACTGCAGCCCACCAAGATATCAGGCTTATGGAGGGCCTGCATGTTGCTCTACAGTTTTTCTTTTTATGACAAATGGCACACACACACACACACACAAAAACAGAGACAAGGAAAAATACTGGCTGTCTCTGGGAGGAGAAAGATCAATATAACGAGTCCTCAGTAGCTCACACTACTTCCTAATAGCTAAAAGTAGCCCAACTCCAGAGAATGCAGCATGAGGGGCTACAAGTGGGATCAAATTAGAATTTCCCATTGTTTCAGAATCTAGACATTGCTGGTCAAAAGTATATTTATGCTCCAGCTAGAATCAGATTGGGAAGATTTCAAGCATCCCTGAATTCAAGACCCTTACAATGAAGGCCTGGCCAAGGCTTTCTTCTAATGGCCAATGTAATTCCCCTGAGGCTGACGGCAGCTTGGAAGGACTCTTAGCCACAAGCAGGAGTGCAACCCGCATTTCTGTCCTACTATCTCTTTCTGCAAAATGGGGTGCAAAAATATTTTTGTCTGACTGTATTTTGGGACACCCCCCCCCCCCCGAAACTGAGAGTTATCAAGGCAAGCCCTCAGGACACAGAACAAGCTTGGTCAGATTCTGCTGTCCTCTGTAAACATTTACAGCTTCTGGAAACTTTCAGT